CCAGAGAGTCCGTCTTCAGGATCTGCGGCTGGTGCAGCAGCACCTGACGACCAACCAGAGTGCAGCGTCTTACATGACATCATACGCCACACTAATTACAGACTGCAGTGAGCGTGTGTGTGAGACGTACAGGCACCTGCTGCGATACGGTGTGGACCGGCGCGGTGGACAGCGTCTGGAAGGTCTGACCGGACGGAGTCAGCAGCCGCTGGTGCTGGATGGTCATCTGCTGTACCTGCGGAGACGTCATGATGCTCTGCATCTGCGGCTGGAGGACTGAGAGAGACACAGCTGCGTGAGAGAGTGTGTGTGTGTGCGTGTGTATAGTGAGTGTGTGTGCGAGTCTCACCCTGGAAGCCGGCGCCGGAATTCTGCTGGCAGATCACCTGGTTCTGGATGAATCTGTGTGTCGGCGTGGCAGTCGGCGCGATCATCACCGTCTGTGGATGCGCCAGCGTCTGCACGGGGAACGTCTGCGTCTGCACCTGCGGACGGCAAAACACAGGCGAAATCACAGAATCCAGACGTAAAAATGAGGTGTAGTCAGAATGTGAAGGGGTGTGGTCACGTGAAAGGGGGTGTGGTCAGAGTGAGGAGCGTGTCAATAGGTGCGTTCGACTTGAAGCACGGCTACAGACGGCGATCAACGAGAGTAGCCGCTTACAGTCGGGGGCGGAGGTGAAAACGGAGCCGTCAAGCCGGACATTTCTGCTCCTGTTAGTGACGCTCGCGCGGTGTTTGCATACTCTATCACATATGAAGTGAATTAAATGCAATATTTGTCAAATACACAGACGTTTCAGAAACGTTTTCATGAGCAACAGAAACACTTTTTATATACTGCTTAATACAGCGCCATCTGTTCAAGAATAAAGTTCAACGTGAATATATACTATTTAAATACTAATGAAGTGGGGGTATATGCTTTCATGATAAACGTGACTCAATATAACATTGCGACTACAGTAAAAAAGCTTTTACTGTTCTAAAAACACAGATTTATGAGCAGTGCTGCATGAAGTCGAACGCACCTAATGTGAGGCATTGTCATGTGTAAGGGGTGTGGTCAGGCTCACCTCTGTGATTGGCTGTAGTCATGTGTGATGATTTGTGTTTAGAGTGTAAGGGGGTGTGGTCAGAGTGAGGGGTGTGCTCAGGGAGTGAGAGGGTGTGGTCAGGCTTACCTGTGTGATCGGCTGTGTGTGATGATTTGTGTTTAGAGTGTAAGGGGGTGTGGTCAGGGTGAGGGGTGTGCTCAGGGAGTGAGAGGGTGTGGTCAGGCTTACCTGTGTGATCGGCTGTGTGTGATGATTATGTGTGTATGTATATGTATGTGTATGTGTATATGTATGTGTGTGTGTGTATGTATGTGTATATGTGTGTATGTGAGTGTGTATATGTATGTGTATGTGTGTATGTATATGTATGTGTATGTGTGTATATGTATGTGTGTGTGTGTGTGTGTGTGTGTGTGT